AAAACTTGATCGGAGATATTTATTAATTTTATGTTATATTAACGTTCAACAAATTTGAATTATATTATGGTTCTTTAAGTAGATTGTCTTGCATAGATAAAATTGATCAGAAGCATATTTCAATTTAACATCTTATTAAAGTCTCATTAAGGTTACGAATACTAAGTTTACTTCAAATTTTAAGGATATTAAGGTTATTTAACTGAGTTGCTTAGTATAGTTAAAATTGATTAGAAAATATTTTAATTTAACATCTTATTAAGGTTACAATAAATTTGAATCATATTAGGGTACTTTACTGGATTGCCCTGTATAGTTAAAATTGATCAGAAATATACTTCAATTTAACATCTCATTAAGATTACTACTACAGTCATTACTTGAAATTATAAGGATATAACTCTTTAACTGGATTACCTCGTACAGTTAAACTTGATCAGAAACATACTTCAATTGATCGTCTTAATAAGGAAGTTCGAATTATATTACGGTTCTTTAACCGGATTGCCTAGTAAGGTTCTTGATCGGAAACTTGCTTCATTATAACTTCCTCAAAAGGTAGTATAAAATTTGAGCCATGCAATGGCTCCTATACTGGTTTGTCTAGAATAGATAAACTCGATCTGAAGCATTTGACATCTTATTAAGGTTGCAACAAATTTCAACCATAATATGGTTCCAGATATCTAGATCATTGCTCAATGGTGAAAAAAAATTATTGAAAACATGGGCTGCCGTAAAGGAAAAAATGGTTAAAATGATTACATGGTTCTAGTTTGACGATGATATTAGCCAAGTTAGCAGCTTCATAAGGTTGCAGCAAAATTAAATAATTATATAATGGCTCAAATTGAAGTATTATGGAGAAAAACCTGGCCGAATTGTTCTAAAAGTGAAATTAGGCAACTCCTAACCACTGATTTTTCTTGTTTAATGGTTATATCATATTAGTGCTAAACTTATTGTTTTCAATAAAAGTTGAAGCAATACGCATCGTTTAGTTATTATAGCTGCTTTACACTTTAAAGTGTAATTAAAAAAATCCCTTTTGCGTTAGATGCTTTTCTGATTTATATCCTTTTATAAGTCTACAGGTTATGAATTTCTTTATTAAAACACAGTGTTAAACAGTAGCATGAAATAAACCATTTATTGTGACAAAACTTTGAAATCGTATTCAACCCTAAAACAGTTCAAATTTAATATGGTGTGAAGTTGAACCGCGATGCTGTAATTCAAAAAAATATTTACACGATATTGTGGTTCGAGATCAAAAAAAGCATGGTTCAGTTTAACACTGTATAAATGGTACAGCAAATTTGCACCATTATTAGTATTCAATGTACTTCTCAACGATGAATCCAACAATCAACATCGAACAATTTTTCTGTGACTGTATCCATAAAACAAATAAAATTGATTTGAAACTCATATCCAACAAATCTCCTTGTCTTGAATGCGAATTAAATAGATCGACATTGATTTCAATGGAAAATTAAAAAATATAACTTTTAATTCAGTAAAAACATGGCTTTTATGCTTGCATTCCAGATCAATACCAGATCAGTATAAGATCTTGTAGTCATTAAGAGAACAAAAACTAATAACTGATATCCATTAAGAGATCTTTGGTTACTTTTCACCCTTGAATCATAAAAGTCAACATTGAACCTATTTTTCTGTTACTGCATCCATAAAACCAAATAAAATTAATTCGAAAGGAATATTAAACAAATCATATTGTCTCGAAATGCGAGTTAAATGAGTTGATTTTGATTTTAATGGAACATAAAAAAATAACTTTTAATTCAGCAAAAAACATGGTTTTTATGCTTGTATTCCAGTTCAATATCAGATCAGTGTAAAACCTTGTAGTCTTAAAGAGAAGAAAATAAAAAAAAAAACTGATATCCATTAAGAGTTCTTTTGAAGAGTATGATGTATAATGAGCTCTTAATGGTACATTTAAATTTTTCATAAATCAAAAGTATTAACCCTGAAACAACCCTAAAAGCTTTTAAAAGATCACGTCATTAAACAAGAGTGTGGGAATTAAGGAAATTATAGCTTATCTGGGGGCTGAATTTAGATTATCTAAAAGAGTAAAGAAGTGGAAAATATTTCTTGAAAAGAAACTTAGCTTGAAGAAAAAAAGTCTCTTTTCTTAATGTTTATGCATTAAAAGTCCCCTATTTGTTATTATTCATCTCAGCACGCTTTGGAATCCTTCCAAATGCTCGCGAATGCTTTCAGTTTCTTAGGACAAATATATTCATTCATTTTAACGTTTTTTCGAAGTAGTGCTGCATTGTAGTACATTATCTAGATTTTATAATAATGAATCTAATTTAATGTAAGACTCTGAAGATCTTATATTAAGGATAAAGAAATATTTATGTACAATTTTAGGGCGTAACATATGATCATTTTTTTAAAAAAAAAGATAAGAAAACAAACATTGAATTAAAATACCTGCTTTTCTTATTTTTTTTACAGAATTCTTTTTTATGTACGGTATGAAAAATATTTTCATATTAACAATTTGAACAGTTTCCAAAATATTTTGAAACAACACGAAAAAATTGAAACATAATAAATTTGCTCGTTACATGCACAATGTTTAAAAAAATAACAATATTAAAAACGTTGGAAATACCTTAATATACTTAATTAAAATTTAACGATAGCTTTTTGAAGGAAGACTTGACGTTGCGAATAATTGTTTGCATATTTTATATAGTCTTTAGAACTATTATCAAAAATCTTTAACTCTTTGAATAAAGCTGAAAATTTTGTTTATCCAAAAAGAGTTAATTAATAGTATTTTTAGAATCATTTGTTAATTTTTATCATTTGATTTACTAACAGTTAAAATAAAATTAAATCGTAAGATACACAAATATTTATGGAGCTTCAAATCATGTCTTTTTAGTTAGTAAAATCAAAAATTGAAATTGAATCTGTGTAAGAGATTAAAATGTAAAAATACTTTTGTACGAAACTTGATTTCTCATAAGTTATCCTTTTGATTGCTCTCAAATTTTGCATATTGTTATTATAATTTACGATTCAGAAAATAAGGAAATAAAAAATGTAGTTTTTTAGACAATTTTTCCACCATCTCGTAAATTATCAAACGAAATGAAAATAAATAATTTTAAAAGTAATATTATGTTCAAAATTGTCACCAAAAGCAATAAACAAGCTTTAAAATTTTTGGAAAGTTAATCTAGACTAGGTGAGTTAAATTTAGCTACAGGGAATACATTATTTTGAATAATAAAGGAAATAAAACAGAAGCATGACTAAAGAAAAGAGAAAAAAAATGTTTTTGGACGGGAATCCCCACGACCGATGCCGTCCTGAGCATGCGTAGAGCAAATGTTTTCTCATAGAAAGAAGGAAAATGTTCGGTAACTCAAGTTGCAATTCCAGCCAGTCTCGTTCGAGTTGATCCTTCTATATCGCTATCGAATCTATCATAAATGGGTATGTTAGATATGTTTTCGAGTGAACTGCAATTAACCATACTAAATATTCACGGCAGCAGATTTATGCAGACTCATGGATATAAATTTTTAAGCGGAAGTAAGCGAGCATTAAAAGATAGTCAAGCATCAACAACTACGCAAACGAGCGTGGTTCCGAAAATAAAATCAAGGAAATATTCTCAAGAATACTTAAATTTTCGGTTTACCAGTTCTGAAATAAGTGAAGAAGTAAGGCTTTGTGTATCATTTGTTCAAAAATGTTTTCCGCAGACAGCAGGAAACCTAATAAATTTCAACGACATTTGGAAACGCTTCATAGTGAGAACGTCAACAAACCCAGAGAATTCTTCGAGTTAAAATTAAAATCTTAAGAAAAGTAAAAATAATTTTTTAAAGAAACTTTGTCTGCGAATAAAAAAGCTTTAATTGCATCTTACAAAGTTTCATATTAAGTAGCCAGATGTAAAAAACCTCACACCATTGGTGAAGAGATTATTTTGCCAGCAGCAATTGAGATAGTAGAAATTATGTTTGGATATAATTTTTCCAAACAATTGCAGTTCATACCTCTTTGAAATGATACTGTCGCTAGTCGAATTGGTGATATAGGTGAAGATGTATAGTGTCAGCTGTTCTCGAAGTTACGTGACAAATTGTTTTCAATACAGCTTGATGAAGCAAGAGATAGTAATATAGATGCTCATTTAATTGCCTATGTTCGATTTCGTGATAATATGTCAGTAGTAGAAAAACTACTTTTCTGCAAACCAATGGAACTCAAAACAACAGGACTCGCATTATTTTATATTTTAAATAATTTTATATACGAGGCAAACATATAATGGAAAAATTGCGTTGGAATATGCACCGATGATGTTCGCTCAATGTCACGAAGATTCCAAAGTTTACAAGCCCTTGTAAAACAAAACTAGCCTCAGTACATCTGAACGCATTGCATGAACCACAGAGAAGCTTTAACTTCGAAATAAATGAGTCCTGGTCCGAATATTGTGTTAACTATGTAAAAATTTGTTAATTATATAAAAATGAGACCCCTAAAATCAAGAATCCTTTCAGCACTTTGTAAAGACATGGGTTTATTACATCTGGTGTTACTATTTTATTGCGAAGCAAGATGGTTATCACGTGGGAAATTTTTGCAATGTGTTTATGAATTAAGAGAAGAAATCGCCATTTTCCTAGAAGAAGAAAACAGACTGGAAGCTGTTAATTTTCGTGAATTATTTGAGCTACTTGGTCGACATATTCGAGAAATTAAATAACTTGAATCTTCAACTTCAAGGAGCAAATGTTGGATACGAGTGATTAAGTTAATGCTTTTTGTAGGAAATTGGAATTGTGGAGCAGAAATTTAAAGCAAATAAACCTAACAATGGTTGAAAATGTGGATGATTGCACTAAAACTTACAAGGCTGAAGAAAAACAAGCAAAAGTTGTTTTTGTAACTATTGAAAATCATTTAGCCCATACTGGGAAAGAATTTTAAAAATGTATTTTCATGCGGATGTCAAACAAATAGTCAGTTACTCTCATGAGACTCACGAAAGACTCTCAATTGATGAGGAAGAAAAATTCATAGACTTCACTTCAAGTGGCGAAACCAAAAGACAATTTAGTAATAAATCACTATTGGAATTTTGGACAGGAGTAGAGGAGGAGTTTTCTGCACTAAAAACTAAGGCATTTCGCATTTTATTACTGTTTTCAACATCCTATCTTTGTGAAACTGGATTTTCTGCTGTGAGTTATTTGAAGACAAAATATAGATCTCGGCTAAATATAGAAACAGAACTGAGAGTGGCTATTTCTAATGCAAAGCCTTCCTTTGAAGAAATTTGCTCTGCAAGACTGGCCCAAGGAAGTCATTAATAATTATTAAACTTGTTTTTAATTTAGTATGTTTTGATTAAGAAAGGTGGGTGAACCAATACTGGCCAGTGTTTCTAATGTAGGCGACCTCCCAAAAGTAAAATTAATTTAATTTTTAATCACAAGATGGCTCTGATGCATTGTAAATCTTGTATCTGAGGTGCACGTGGCTGAATTGGAAGAGATTTCCTTGAATGGCGCCCATTGTATGAAGTGATTTAATTTTTTGTAGCTATCGTTCTAATTTCTAGGTATATGTATATGTTGTAATTTATATGTGTTCAAATTCTTATAACTTTGAGTTACATGTTTTCTGAAAATTTATTTCTTTTTTTTTAACCTCATTACTTCAATTCTAATTAATTCATCAGATTAATAGTTTTAAGTCTTGAGAATGCTGACCATATAAATGTTCCCAAGGTGGCCCGACACCGATGGCACCTTGAAGACATGTGGGCTACATTCGAAAACGAACTTGAAATCTATAAAAGTGTTAATTATTAATCAGTACGTAGTATACATTTCTCAAGAAGGAATGATTTAATTAAATACCAATAGATTCATTTCATTTTAGGCAAATGTGGAACGGTATTTTTTTAAATTTTTATAATTTTTTGACGTTTTCTGCACTTTAGTAGATTTTGCGATATTTTGTTTTGTTTGCATTTTAAAGTATTTGTTAAGGTATTTTTATGTTAGTTATGTGTGTTTTTGTGATAGATACTGGTATTTTCTTTTAAAATTGGGTATTTTTGTACTAGTTATAGGTTTTAGTTAGCTCTAGTATGGTTAGTTAAAACTCTTACCTACCAGTTAAAGCTTTTAAAAGAACTAACTCGGTAATTTTGCTTTATTCTATTGAGTTAACTCAAAATAATAGCTAGTGACGTCACACGAGAATCATCAAAGTAAATGACATATAAAATATTATACACTCTAAAACCAAATATATCTTTTTTAAAGTCGGGAAACTTGTCCCCACCAGCAAGACACTTAAAGTGCCTTTTCAGAAGACGTTTGCTAGTGTCTTTTCTAAAGATGATTTGAGTAAGTGATAAAGTGATTTCAATATATGGGACACCTTTGGTACCTTTGGACATACTTAGGTGCAAATGCTGTAATTTTGAAATTGCACTACAAAATAAATGAAATTTTATTTTACAATTAAAGGTATATGTGACATGTATTAGAGAGAGGTTTAAGAAATTACAAAAAAATTTCAGCCAAACAGACTGAAGCGAAAAATTAAAAAAAAGTCCTTAAAGCTTAGCTATGGCCACCTTTAGCTCAGCCACCTTAAGTTTTTATTAGGTAAGTTGCTTTACTTTAATAAGTTATTAAATATGCCGAAATGTATTTTGTTTTCTATGTGTGTGTGTGCTTTCCTTTCAGTCAGTTAATCAATTTTTTTAAAATAATATTTTCGCTTGGATATTCTCGTGCCTCCCCTTTAGTGTGCTCACGCCCCCCTAGGGGGGCGTGACTTAAGTCATTACAAACAAATCCCAGTACGTGAAAAACTTATTTTTATATCAAATGTTATTAATCTGTTCCGTACTATACATACGGATACTATACATTTTTTGTGCAGTGCAATAAGAAAAATGGACCACTCTGAATAACTTTTGATCTAATGATCGGATTTTCGCGTTCTGGGACTCAATTTTAATGGCCAGAGGGAGTAACCTGAAATAAGCTTATTAATAAGCGCACACGATATTTTAAGTTACGAAATCAGACAGAAAAGGTACTTTTTTCTGAATAAACATAAATTTTTTTCCTTCTGATTCGGACTTCTGAATCCCAAAATATAGAGGGTAGCCGCAATCTGGAAAATATGATTCCTATAGTTTGGTCAAGAGAGCGATCCAAAGTTCTAATACCTTAATGATAATTTTACTTTTAGCGCATTTCGCCTTGTCTCGAGTACTATTGAAGCTTGCACACGATTGAAAAATTCGCTTGCCCAAAGATAATTCCATGCAAAAAATAAATTTTAGTAGGCATTTATTATTTTCTATCATTTTATTTGATAATACTCTAAAACAATTTAAATTGAGAGGTATACAATTTTTTACATCATTTTAAAATATGTAAATTTACATGACAAAATACAAAATTTGCTCGAAATCGGTTGAATAGTTCAAGAGAAATTAAGTCTTAGAAATATCGCACATTTAAATTCTATTTTTCAGGAACTATTCGAGATATGGTGAAATACTCAAAAATGTAAAATTAACGTTAAAGGGTCCAAATTTTGGATCGCACTCCTGACCAAACTATGTGGATTATACTTTCCAGATTCCTGCTCCCTAATATATTTTTAGGGTAAGAAATCCGAATCGGATTTCGGACACGAATCAGACACGTTTTAGTGTCTGATTTGGTAACTTAAAATATCGTTCTATACTTATTAATTAGCATATTTGAGGTTACCCTCTCGAACCATTGAGTTCTGGATGAAGATCCGAATCTTAAGTCAAAAGTTATTTATTGCGGTTAGTTTTTTTTCTTCGCAGCACTGAACATTAGCCACTGTGAAGACGAGCTATAAAGTATTCATTTCACATATTATTTAATTTGGATTAGTGCTTAGGGATTTTCTAAGTATGTACTTAACCCGATTTTTCTTGATCATCCAATCAGCATTTAGAAAGAATAGACCTCAAGGACTTCTTTTGATGTTTAAGTCAGAAATCTGATCATGTTCTACGATTTATTTTATTTTTGCAAGAAAATGTCTGCAGATATAATGTTGCATGTAGATTATTTCATATTTTTCTTTTTCATACTTATACCAAAGGTTTATTTCTCAAATAGGTTTACAATATTTTTAAATGTTCAGCAGTTTAAAAATGTATAAACTTAATCATCACAATTTACTTTAATTCGTTCGTATTGCTTAATTAAACCATTTAAATAATTATTTTTAAATTTTGTTAATTCTTTCTGCAAATATAATAGAAATTTTATAGAAATGTTTGACTCGTAATTTATTTTTAACAATATCTAAGAACAAATATTTATCTTATAACTCTATACGTGATTTAAAAATTGAAATCAAGCTATAGACATTAATATTCAATGTGATACTTCCATATTTATTTTACGAATTTAACTCAAAGATAAATATTTGTAAAACTGTTTCATTTTTACAGCTCTTTGGATATGAAAGTTACATTTTATTTGATTTATATATATTCTAAAACTCTGATTTGAAATTCCTTTAAACGCGTATCATGAATCAAAACCAAAATTAAGAAGAAATATAACACATTTGAGGCTTAAAGAAATTATTAAAAAAAAGCTTCAAAATTGCACAAAGTTTTTTTTCCTTTACGAAAAAAAATATTTTGCTTTAAGATCTTGCAAAGATTGCTTAATATAATGCATTCCTTGTAGCTTTTAACGTATGAGTAAATTTACTCCGTAGTGTATAATAATAGCTATACTAAATGCTTGTAAAGTAAGTAATCAAATTGAAAAAAATAATAATAAGCATATAAAATTAGAATAAAATGTTTGCTTACTTTTCCTATATAATTAAAAATCAATTTCGAAACTGTAATTTTTCTAATTGGCAGTGAGTGCCCGTTTTTATTTTATTTTATTTAGACAATAGAAGAAAAAAAGTACTAAATCCATGAAATTCTTGTATTTAGAAGGAATTCCTAAAAATAACGAATAAGACTTAAGAATAAAAACATTTAAAAATATTGCTTTATCAATTTGTTTAAAAAAATAATTGCATTGATTATTTTTAGTATCATTTAATAAATCAAAATAAATACACCTATCCTTTTTAAAATAATTTAAAATCTCAATAATTTTTAAAACTTAATTAAAACAAACAATTATAATTTTTATTTAAAACATTTATAACTTTTGATCGTATAAAACCAAATTCGATAAGTTATTAAAGAAATTATTCACATTAATAAAGTACAGTACATATTCAAATTCAATTTATATAACACTTTTATTAAATCAAAAATCAGTAATTCATGAAATCAGTAATTTTTATAAATCAAGTGTTACATTTATTTTTTCAATCACATTATTTAGAACTATATATTTCTATCTGAAGTAATTTAACTCAAACGTCATTAATGATATTGTATTTAAATTTTACACTCTTAGGTTAGAAATTTATGTAGATAGTAAACTTCCGTGTTTCAAATTATTTTACAATATTTGTAACACAGAATTATTCTGTACAAATTATTTTACGTAGTTTTCTGAAAATTGCAGGTTGAAATTATGGTCTAAACTAAGAATGGCTTATGGTTGAAATTATAATTTCATTTCCGCAATGTAACATTTTTAATTTATGATGAAATTTATAGTTTTGATTGAGGATTTTATTTGAAGAAAAAAAGATGAAAAATGTATTTAATATTTAATGTTTATAATAGAATAATGTCATGTAAGGTTAGTATTAAATTGGTAATCGTAAAAATTTTATGAGCCATTTAAAAACAGTTCCATTGAAAATACGCATAGCGTAGGAGTTTAAAAACTTACAAATATAAATGACTCATTGAAAACAAAAGTAAATTTTAATTTTATTTTGAAACTATATAATCATAAATTTGGGGTTTAATGATGGAAAGAACTTTTATATCAAAATTTCTGAACCTTGAAACCACGATGTAGTTTCTTAAATTTATTATATAATACGTTTTACTGCACAGTATTAAACGAAATTATGGAAACTTGGTATTGAGGTATTTCTTTTTTTCCCATAATTTTTAAAATTTTACTCTTTTTAGAAGATGAAGATTAGACCTTAACTACTAACTTTAACTCTTTAGAAACATTAGCTCTTCTTGCTGCAAACCATAGATTTTTTGGTCTCTTATTTTTCTGCAAAAACTGTTTCCTTCGCTTCAAAACTACTGTGACATGATTTTAAACATTTCTATTCAGCAGTAAACAAGATTTAATTAGAGAGAATTAAAAAAAATTCATAATTATATATAAACGAGAGCAAAATTAGT